AATAAATGGCCCTAAACGGACACATATTCTAACTTTAGTGCGTGTATCCGGAATTGGACGATTGTTACAGTTGTCTGCCTCACTATAAATGAATTGTTAGGTTGTTTTGCACTGACTCTTGGATGCTGGTATTGACGTGTTTGTTTCAATAATCTATACACATATCTTTTTGTTCGGTATAATGCATTGATTAATAATTAGATACCATACATTAACAATCTGATTTGTTCAAATCAAATTCTCCAATCCAACAAGGAAATGAATTTTACTCCAAAGAGAGAGAGAGAGAAATGGGGCTTAACGTTCACTCGACACAAACTAGGTCATTTCGGGACTAACATATGGTTTAATTTTATTAGAAGTGGGAGGAAACCGGAGGACCCAGAGAAAACCAACGAGGTTGGACAGGCGACCCTACTCCTTGTCACGTACAACCGGGGATTCGAAACCACGCCAGTTGACTCAATGACAGGCCTTATGATACAGCGCGCACGTGCTAACCATTCGGCCATCCAAGCCCCCATTTTACTCCAAACTAACCGTATGAAAGTTAGATGAAAATGAACAAAAGATCTACAAATCCCAGTTTGGAACCACATCATTGAGACTAAAACGCCTTTAAAGGCGCTAATTCTGTAACTCAGTGATTCTCAACCATTTTTGGCAACGGCAACCTTGGAACACATGAAATAATAGCGGCACACCTGGCTAAATATATATGAACAATATTTGAATTTTGCAAAATGAAAATATAGTAAGTCAGACGGAATACAACCGTAGACAGAAAATAGTCATAGACACATAGAATGACTAAAGCTAAATAAAGAAAAACATAGCTATTAACTTATCAGTAGACACCAGTGAATACTCAATTGGGACCACGTGGTTTGTTACTTGTTCTTGGTGCACCGTTCAAAATTTCGCGGCACACTTAGGAAGCTCTCACTACACACCTGTGTGCCGCGCCACACTGGTTGCAAATCACTGCTCTAACTCAATATTCTCCATTGTATTCGTAATTACGAACACGAAATGGAATTCAGTATGTCCTGTCCATCTCAATCAATATTGATATTGTTATCTTGTGAAAATAAAGGGCCTTGATATCCAATATTGAAGACACAATTAACATTTTATAATCAGCATACGAGTCGTATATTTTATGGGTTCGGGCGCCATTTGCGATGATCAAAGAAAAAAAACATATCCCACAAGACAAAGCGGGCGTAATTAGTATTGGCTGATTCATAAACGACACAAAATAATGACAAAATGTTAAACAGGTCTAAACGGCTGTCGTTCAATTTAGACTGCTCACTTATTTCACCAAACAGAAATGATTAGAATTGACAATAACAGTTTTCAAAATTGAATATAAATCACTTTACATTCATATTGCATTACTCTTGACTTTTAGACCCATTGTTCCTAATTTAAGGTCATATACGTTCTTTAACACACACATTTATATATGTGTTATGCATGCTAATATTAATTTTGTTCTCAATACAGTAAATGGGTATTATCGTATATCGGTAGACGAGAAAATATAATAAATTTGACAAGTGGTTGCCTAACCGTCTACCATGAGATCTATAATTCATCAACGTTATTTGAAGCCGATATATTTACCAAGGAACAGATTAATACTTGTGGGTCGCCTACAGGTCTGGTTTTTGTTAAGACATATAAATATTTGCTGAACAGTATCTGATTTATATCTCATGACAAATAATATCTAACATAATACCATGTCGTGTACGCCTAGACGATCATTGTCTATTTTGTGTTAAATTATTTTGAAAATCATTGATGGCGTGATACGTAACAGACATAGAGGGGGTTGGGTTGGGTGACTGAATTGTTTAACGCGTGATACAGGTAGGTAGGTTTCTGATCGACACTATAAGGGTCATCTGCCTTTACTTCGGGGGCTTTCTCTGGGTTCTCCGGTTTCCATCCCATAGCAAAAGACTCCCACGCTCAAGGTAATATTGACATAAAATTTCCGAAATGAGCTAGTTTGTGTCGAGTGAACGTTAACACCACATATCCCCCCCCCACACAAACACACTCTCTCTCTCTCCACGGTCAGTAAGCTGAATTTCCCTTCATAGCACAGACAGTATGGCGCACGTCCATTTTCATTATCCAGTCGGCGCAGACAAGAAGGAAGCTAAACCCAATTCATTCCATTTAGGTCTTCATTATCCAGTCTTGCAATCGTACCATGGATCGTTTCCTTCACGCCGTTTTCAAAATTACCGAGTTTAATGGGCGTCCTTTTAAGTAAACATGGTACGACATTAAAGCTGGACTCCGATTAAAAAACTAAAGAAATAATTAAACAAAAAAAAAATAGTTAACGTCCTAAACAACCGCCACACTTATTTGCAATTTGTAAAACAACCATGGCGATCGCTTAGGGGGAACAAAAACTCAGGGAAAAGTACATCCTTATTAGATTGTTTCATCTAATTAGTAAAATAATATGTACCTGATCAGACATAATAATTGCGTAGCAATAATATTTTCAGTAAGCTGACACCGCATGTGTACACTTTGCTTGACACGGCAAATACTGAATTTGTTCTACAAATTGAAAACAAGTATAGCGTTTCTTTAGGGCCCTTAACGCTTTTTATTTAATAATTTCTGTAGTTTTGTAATCCGAGGTCCCGTGTACACATTGGCGTTTACGTAAACGAAATCATAGCAGTTGGAACTTTAAATATGATTGGCAATATCTGGGCAAAATTTCTCTTATAGCACACAGTATGGTGTATGTCCGTCTCCATTAGCCCAGTCGGTGCAGAAAAGTAAGACGTTAAACCCCATTTCATTCATTCATTCATGCACTTTTACCACGGATGGTTTCCTTCAAACTGTTTTCAAAGTTAAAGAGTTTAATAGGACTATACTTTTAAGTAAATATTATTACAAAAATAATTGCTGACTCGATAATGGCAATTACAAATTTGGGAGAGCGTAACGGACTCACTAAAAGTGCCTGATGAACATACGACGCAATCTCTTGCGAGTAGGTACACCATCGCCGTCATTAAACATAATCAATATAAATGGACTGAAATGGGGTTTTACGCCCTACTGTTCTGCGGATAATCGATATTTGGCATGTACGAAGACAATTGTTAATCCGGGACAAGCTTCTTATCCACCATGTGTAATAGAAATTTCACTGTAAATTAGTGCAAACAATTCAATACATGCAAGACGTTAGCTAATTAATTAATCGATGTTGAATCTGAAGCGGGAGTCGTGGTGGCTTGGAGAGGAAGACTATAGCTAGCTGTCAAGGAGGTTCGAGTTGTTGGCCGAAAGTTCCTCGGATTTTTAAGGTGCGGTTTCCTCTTATCAGTGGTGGAGGGCCCGACAAGGGCAGTGTATAGTCGTTCGGATTTGATGAAAAACCGAGGTCCAGTGTACAAATACGCTTGCAAGTTAAAGAACACCAATTGGCATTTAGAACTGCTCACTTTGTGGAGTACGACCGAAATTATTTGGCACGGATTGAGCAGAAGCGTAGACTGCTAAACCGCATTTCATGTAACTTCTGTTTCTGAAGCATTTATAACTAATGTAAATAAAATGGTGTTTAACGTTCTATTTTTCTGTCTCATCCGGTCTATGGGGGAATTTTAAAAACTGGCAAGGGCTCTTTTGTGTGTTCGCCCTCCGCTCTAACAACCCACGACCCCCAAGTTAGCGAGTCGGCTCCTTACTTACTGAGGCACCGCGGCATCTATCTTGTGTAACACTAATCTACATTTGTTCCATGTGAATATTCCTTTGACGAATAAAGAAAGACTTCGTCTTGGAAGCAAAATTAGGAAAAAATGGTCAGATGTCAAAAAAAAAAAACCCTAATGGATTGCGTTCAAACGTGAAAGTTAGTTTTGCTGTATTTATTAGCCCAGTCGAAGCATGACATTAGGACGTTAAACCCCATTTCACTTCAATTCATGTCATTTTGAACTAGCATGATTAATATGTGAAATGAAACAGAGCCTCCCACGCAGACTGCCAGGAGGTTTGCGTGAGTAAAAGAAATTTTGACTCTATGAGTATTATTTACGACGGTTGTTGTTCTTCCTTCATGTCGTAAACATATATGTTGGATATAAATGATGTTGATCATGAAATACATTCGGGACACAACTTCGTCGAAGTCCATAAGGAAATTGTGATGTCCATCTAGATATATGTAATATATTTGTGATTAATACTAAATGTTAACAACGATGGAGGCAGAGTGTGTGTGTGTGTGTGTGAGAGAGAGAGAGAGAGGGGGGGGGGGGGCGGCAGAGGGAGAGAGCTGTTTAACGTTCATTCAACATAAACTATGTCATTTCGGGACTAACATGGATGATTCACTTGCACTTAAATAAATCGTTTCCGCGTAGTGGCATTTAATAGTGGAAGCAAAACCGTAGGACTTGGAGAAAACCCACGAGATTGGACAGGTGACTCTACTCCTGCACTCAGTGACAGAGATTATGATCTAAAGCGCACGTCTTAGACGATCCAGCCACCCAATTCCCACAGCAATCTACATGAAGATCTGACCGGTTGTAGTGGGAGGTCCCCTCAGCGGCCTTTGACCCTATGACGTCAGTCATTTGATAAACCAATCAGCATTGATGTTTCTAGTGGGATACCCGTAGTTCCGTGCACCACACACAAATAACTCGCAGCAACAGACCATTTCACTGACTAGTCTCTCATATCAACCAGAACGCGGGTTAAATAACAACTCTTCGAGATCCTAGTGTGATCAAGTCAAGAAAAACGAGATGTTGAACTATAAAAAACAAAACGAAATAGGATCTGTCTTTTAGTTAGACTGCCCCCACAGCTCATTTGAGAATAATGTAATACAGATATAGTTCTTTATTTTAAGACAATTAACATGAATAACAAATGAACACAATAAAATATAAATACACCATCGTTTATAACAATAACAGAAACACCATTTATATTGATACAAACAATCGATTAGTCCGATATTCCTCTCAAAATAAATAAATACAAATATAATTTTTTTTTTTAAATCGCGGTTCGTTCAAGATGCATTATGTAAGATTTAGATAAAAAAAAACAGCTGGTCTTTCTCGCCATGATAGTTGTAAGATATACAATGGGAAATGAATAGATTGAAAATTTCATTCAAATTATTTTATTCTGAACAAAGTTATGAATGTTTGAAATTTTGACAATAATAGGTTATCATCGATAGTTATTGCTACGCTATCTCGATTTTCTATTTTTTGGGGTTTTTTTTTGTTTGGCGCTGATAGTTTAATCCAATTAATATCCAAGCCCTTAGTTGTCCTAGAGACTTGATTATTGGCTTATCAGGTGAATACATGTTTTAATAATAATTTAAATATGATTTGAAACAAAAAAATAGAAAAAAATAAACAATAAAAATTACTTTAAATAAGCAAGCAGATTTAGCTCTTACATAACGCACTTTTAATAATATATATGTACCTATTCAAGAGCAAGTTAATTAGAATGTTAAAATAAGTTTTTATAAAATCTGTTTTCTTAAAGTCAAATATCATTCATTTTTTAGTAGTGTCAAAAGAATCACTATTGATCTTGATACCGAACAATCGATTGGTTCGATAAAAAGAAACATCAATTTTTCCTCTAAAAATAAATAAATAAAAATAGAAATTAAAAAAATCGTGATTCGTTAAAGATGCATTATGTAAGATTTAGATAAAGAACTGGTCGTTCTCGCTATGATAGTTTCCAAATAGACCATGAAAAATGAAGAGATTGAAAATTTCATTCAAATTACTTTATTCTGAGCAAAGTTATGAATGTTTAAAATTTTGACAAGAATTGCGTATCATCGATTGTCAGTGCTACGCTAGGTCTCGGCTTGCCATTTTTGGTTTGGCGCTCATAGTTTAATTCAATTAATATTCAAGCCCTCCGATGTTCTGAAAAGTTGATTATTCATGGGCTTATCGGGTGATTACATGTCCTAATAATAATAATTTAAATAAGATTTGATGCAAGCAGATTATTCTCTTATATAATGCACTCTTAATAATACATGTATATAAGTACCTATTCAAGTGCATGTTAATTAAAGTATCTAAAATAAGTTTCTATAATATCTGTTTTCTTAAAGACAAATATCATTCATTGTTTGAAGAATTTCAAAAGAACATTTGTAGCCAGAAAAAAAAACACATAAAGCAGATTTGGCTATTACTTTATGCATCATTATAGTGTGGATAATAACTTTCAATAAGTCAAATATCATTAGTGATTTTCTTTTTTGAAGAATTTTAAAAGAAAACAAAAAAAACCCATCGAACATCGATGAAATACGATTCGTTATTTCTCGATCGCATATGTCAGTCATTATACGATTGTGAAACTTTGTTATATAAAATAAGAATTGTCTGTGCGGGAAACTTCTGAACACTCGCCAACGATTCTGGTGGTCCATTTCTCAACTCTGTAAATTATACAACCATATGAGCTCACATAATATAACATCGTATGTAAAAATAAGCACTTTTATTAGATTTTCTAAACATCACGTTTAGTTCATGGGTTACTTTAACGTATTTAACCATATGTTTCTTTTCATTTCGATCTAGACAACACTAACCAATGTTTGGCCTTTACCATCTCAAGTAACTCAAGGCAATTTGTTTGCAAGAACTAAGTTTTAGATCTTTCACGGTCCGTCTGTCGTCCATTCAACGGACAACAATGGGAATTATTGGAAAACACAGTCCTTGTACAGAATTTGCTTTTGTACCCCGGCGAGGAAACAGTGGTCATATAAGTATCCTGGCGTTGCATTAACCGCTGAGGGTCGGCCTCATCTGGGGTTTTCATTAAACCAAAGCTTAAGCAACTTAATACTCGAAGAAATCCAAACCGGAACTTGGAGTTCATCCAACAATACACAAACGGATTGTACATGCAGTTACTCATAGCTAGCCAATGAAACACCATCCATACAATATTCATGTGGTTTTCGTCATAGATACCGGGGTTGACAGCACCGATGATAGTGATAATATGAAGTGGTAGCCAACACACTGCGTATATTATAACTACGATGATCATCATTTTTGTTATCTGAAAGATAAAAATATACAACATGTCTCATTACTAGTATCTATATAGAATCAGACATAAGAAGGGGGTGGGTTTGGGGGATAGAGGGTAGCCGGGTCCGACCACGAAGAGTCAAGGTCCGACCCCAGGCATCATATCTTTGCACGAAAATGGCCGAAGGTACAAAATGTAGAAGAATAGTTCTATCAAGACCATACAATAATAAAAAGTAAAGCAAAACAACACCAGATTAGAGCAATAGTAATCACTTGTTTTGCTGAAAATCTTTTTAGACCAGTGCTTGGTGAAAATAATGGGAAACAAAACCCATGATAAATGGACTTTCGGTTGGTATCAAATATGTCACATAATAAGGACATTGGTAAAAAAAAAATACATAGTAACACCCTCAATCTTACAAGCGCAAGAAACCGAACCAAACTGAGTTGATTTAAACTGAGCTAATTAATAACTTTAGGTTTTCCGCTAAATATAGAAAATGACGTTAAAATTCCATACGTAATACCTCGAACCTCAAACGCAAGAAACCTAACTAAGCTAACTTGTTATAAATTGTTATAATTAAACAATAAACACATATGGACAATAACGGTAAAAATAGATACGTAAAACCTCACACATAAGTAATCGAACTAAACTGAGTTAATTTAAATCGGTGTAATTAAATAATAATTTAATGTTTCCAGCTAAATATAGAAAATAACTGTAATGATAATAATATTTGCACATACAATTAGTTTGTGTGTAGGAACTGCTGTTAAATCAGACGTAAATTGCAATACGATCATTAGCTGCTAAATACAAAATAAAACAGCATGTGGCTTCAAATTAGACGTCTTGGATAAATTGCCGATGAGAAATGGTGTGGAGATTGAGAAAACTAATTCAATCTGTTAAGTCTCTCCACCTGCATACCTAATAATCATAGTACTAATACATGTTGAGTGTAACCCGGACTCACCAGGGAATTTTGATAGCGATTTGATGGATTATTACTGAACAATTTCTTCATTATACACATATCTAATAGAGATAAACACGATCGTCCAGCACCATTCCTCCTCTAATAGACTGGAGACGTAACATTGATTGGTCTGATCCTAGAGATCCTTCTCAACATCATTTAACCATTAATTCCAGCTATTATTACTTATGTCCTATTAAGTCATAGAAGATTTTGAAGTTGTACAGATTAAACCGACCCGCCATGCTCTTTTTGAAGATTTGTCTTTAAAAATGTCTGGAACAGTCCAACACATTATTATTGGTAAACCTATTATTACTTAAAAGTCATAGAAGGTTTTTGAGTTGTACAGATTAAACCGACCTACCATGCTCTTCTCGGAGATTGCCTTTAGAAATGTCTGGACCGGTCCAACACGTTATTATTGATAAACCTGACTGTTATCGCCGACTAGACTTTACAAGTTAAAAGCACGTCGTTATGTTTGATTTATAAATAATAGGAATCTACTCTTTGAAATCTTGTCATGGGAAAGGTGCCAATCATTCTTGTAGATATTTGTAGTAGTGTGTAGTTACAGTCAGAAATTACGGGGGTCCATATAGAAAATATAAGAAATTTCTCGAGAGTCATCTAAGTAGAATTCATTCTTGGCTAAAGGAGAGAGAGAGAGAGGGAGAGAGAGAGATTGGGTTTAACGTTCACTCGACACAAACTACATGTATGTAATTTCGGGACTAGCGCATGGTACAATTTTATTTCAAAAATTCGCTTTCGCTTAGAGTTTATTTGCAATGGCAACACGCTGAACAGGCGAACCCATTCCCTGCCATGTACATGCTTGTGATCAAAACTCATTGACAGACCATATAGTCTAATGCGCACGTATCAGACCACTCAATCACCCACCCGCCTATTTATTCCTGGATTAGGGAAAAATAAACTCCCCGTTGTCATGCCTTCACGAACAAGACACAGACACAAGCGAAGCAACAAAACAACAATATCACATTCTAATCTCTTTTTTCAAAACTTTAAATACTTATTAAACTGGAAGTGATCGATCGAGTTCGTCGAAGGCATGTTTATTACTGTCTATAAGAGTTACCTCTACGTAACTTCAATCATATTGTTATGAATTAAACTGAAACTAAGCACGAGATTTTAAAGTTATAATGATAATTTGTTATGAGCTTGCGACTAAGAGTATTATTCTAGTAACCATGGGGTATTCAAAATATCACAAGTTTATTGTTTTCCTGACAAAGTAAGATATTTACCCCCCCCCCCCCATGCGTCATTTAAACCCAATAAAATCACTTGCACACTACACTATTGTAAAAGATGAATTCCTAATGGAAATATCAGTGCAAGAAATGTTTCATTTCCGTTCAGTATTCAAAAACTTATGTGGAATTGAAATTTCATCGATGTATGCTGCTTGCTATGCAATAAGCCGGTCGCCATTTTGTTGTCCGCGAAAATGAATTGATGGGCCTTTTTAAATCCAATGGAATCCAAGTCGGGACATTACCTAGCGTTGGTAGTTTAATTTGTTTTTTAAATTAAATGTTAAATAATTATTATTATTATTATTATTATTGTTCGATTTATATAGCGCTTCATTACACGTGAAGTGTTTCTAAGCGCATATCACAAACATATACTTCAAACACACAGAAACAATCAAAATCAGGAGAACATAATTAAACACAGCTGCCTGTTAGGCGCTATTATTCAAAGGTTTATATCCAACAAATCAACCGGCTGATCTCAATATTGAACTCAGTCGAGGTATTACCTGATGAACACCTACACCAAGTAGAGTTCAAAAATAAAAACGAAGTTTAAAAGAATCAACTTCATTAACAAAAATTAAACAATCAAAAACTAAACAGATAAATCAAATTCAAACGAAACAAATAAAACAAAGAAAATGAAAAGAGCAGTTCGTTACCATTCTACATTAACAAAATAAAGGAAATCAACTTGTGAAAATTTTTTCAAAAAATAAGAGCAAAGTAACACTAATGTTAATAATTATCAAAAGGAACCAAGATCTTAATGATAAAAACATATATTTAAAGTTTCATCCAAATTGGATAAAAACTGTGGTCTCTAGAGGGTCCACAACCTTGATATACCATATCTATCTATTTCTTAATTAATTACAGGTATGTAAATTATTGTACCGGTAACCTAAATTTTATGAATATTGTTGTGATGTTATGACGATGTGCAATGCATATTGATATTGTGTTTACCTGTTTAAGATGAGTCAATAAAAATCTGTTCTTAAATATTTAGCACCCATGCCATTTAATTGGACGTACGGTATCCGAGACTTTGTTTAATATTATCATAGCAATCCAATAGTACATGTACCTATGCCTATTTAAAGATACATTCCTCAATCAAGTACATATTAATGTGGATTAAACCGTGTAGGAATCTGATATTTTAGCGAAAATGCTAATGGCGCATCGTTACTTTATCTAGTACTTGGATATCACAGTATAGTTTTTGGACAAATTAGATATTAAACTAGCATTTGAATTGTATTGAGAATTACATCGCAAGACACATTAGATATTCAAGTACTATTTAAAATCCAGTTTATCCATTAATCAAATTTGACCACGTGGACATTCAGCAAATCCTACGATCTATTAATGATACATTTTCTTAATTCTGTGACAAAAAAACAAAGAAACGAACATAATTTGGTTAAGTATTTTTGGAATGTAAATTTATTTCTAGCAAGAAGGATATTATTTTTAAATCATTTGTTTACATAGATCTTATAAAAGAAAAGATATACACCAAAACAATTCGTCGAATGGTTAACCGGAAATATAGTTCCAGCTTACATAATATGTCGTTATTTTACAAAACAGGAACCTTTACATTAATAAGCCATGCAAATAACCAGAAGTGTCCTCTGGTAAATCGGCGAAGGCTCATGTGAATGAAACTTGATTGCTGCATTTGTAAAATAAATTTCAAAATGTGATATTTATATAAATAAAATCAAAGATGCGTAGATGTTTGTTCGCCAATCAAGCTTCGTCGACGCGATCCAACCCCGTGAGGCGACCACTGTGGCACGCTTAGGACAGATTCCACAAGTCAAAACCTACATTTTCGGAAAGCCGCGAATAGTATTTGTTTAATAATGCACCAAACTAGCCGTTAACAGGCAGGCGAGACACATTCTATTGGACAATTTTCTAATTAATAAAATCGTGAGAACATATTTAATTGCTTCTTTGAGTTGCATTTAGTAATTCAACAATAGCATACTAAAAGTTATTTATGAAATAACAATTACTGGTTTAAAAACACGACGATCCATGTTAACAAATTTTTATTCCATAAATAGGTTTTAGTGCATATTTAATTGGTCTGTATTGCCATGCCAAAACAGATTTAGAGACTTATTTGTCGTAGTAACAGAAAACAAGCCAACAGTGAGACTGATGTCTCCCGCGGCAATCCAAAAATAAATACAGTGGACTCTGTCACATCCGACATCGTACGGGATCGTTACAATAATTCGGATCACACAGCGTTTCGGAATACCGAGCTTTCTCCCAAACCGGAAATACTGTAACTTCGAAAACCGGAAGTATTTTTATATTGTAGCTTCGAATCACCAGAATGTAGATGATACATATTAATTAATTAATTGCACATTTATATGTTTGAAAGGTGTCGATCAATCAAACTGATTATCTATACTTATAGTCAGGATGGAACTCAGTCAATGTTTTGAAGTACTTAATAATCATTCTCACTTAATAAGAACCGAACGTGTCGAGTCCCAAAGCATCTGCCAATCAAATTGCATATCGATGTTTAGCCTAAGCAGAAAGTGCTCATCTTCAAACTCCATCAAGGTATTCCCCTGATACGCACCGACACTAAGTTTGAACATTCTACCTCAGTTAGAAGGAGAGCTATTATTTTTTCCCCAAAAAGTGTGACGGACAAACAGACAGACCGACTGCTTTTAATAGTTCTCTGCTGGGGATAA